GTGGCAAAAGCCAAGACTGATTCCTGGGAGAAGTTCGGTGAGGTGTTGGAGTCGAATTTCCACATGGCAAGCAGAGTATTCTGGCAGACCATCGGCTACCTCAGAGGTGAGAAGATGGATATTATTAAAGTACTGAAGGGCACGTCTGGACGACCTCTTATCAAAAATGAGGAAATTCTTTGGCGATAGAGAGAGTAGATTGAAGAACTCCTTAACACGAAGCAACCAGAGCAAAATTCGTTTGTATAGCAGCAGGGAATGGATACCTAGTCTTTCAGCAGATGAAATCGCATGAGCTGTAAAACGCTTGAAAGGGTTGATAGGGCTGAAATATGTAAATCATAAGGGCGACCAAGGTATGTTGTGGCTGTCAAACTGCAGTGAGTAAAGGGAAGACACCAGTAGACTTGAAAACTGGAGTTGTGGTACTCCTCTACAAGAAGAGTGACCATACAGAGTGCTAAACACTGAACATTACCTCAATGTGCCCCACCCCAGGAAAAGTCCGTGCAGAAGTGTAAGAAAGCAGGTGGCGCGGAATAACTGCCTCTAAAACACAACAAATTTAGTGTGGCTTCAGGTCAGGCTAGGTACTCTGACCATATCTTTGCCTTAAGTCAAATTGCTTAGAAATCATAGGAGCTTGCTCATCCGGTTTACAGTTGCTCCGTGAACCTCTAGAAAGCCTATGTTCAGACCCCGCTCAACAAGCTGCAAGAGTGCCTGCATACGTGTAGGATTGATGGCTGGTTTGCACGAGACATCTGAGTCACTACGTGCTGATGGCAAGTGCTGCATGAGCTGAACAAATTGCGTTAAGTCGAAACCTTTCGAGGCTGCACCTGCATGCTTGATGTATGTATGTATGTATGTATGTATGTATGTATGTATGTATGTATGTATGTATGTATGTATGTATGTGGTAATGTATGTATGTATGTATGTATGTATGTATGTATGTATGTATGTATGTATGTATGTATGTATGTATGTTCCAAACAATGTGCGTTCTGTCCCCTCTCATGTGTGTGCTGCGCATGGAGAGGAGAGTCAGCCGCTGCCAGAGGCGTTGAATTTATCAGCGTAGGAGATACAGAGACGAACGAGAAAGCTGCTGTTTGCAGACCACCTCATTTTGTTGACACCTCCTGAAACAAATCTCCAGCGCTGTCTGGAAAGGTTCTCAGTCGAGAGTGACGCACCGGCATGCGTGCAAGCGTGTCTAAAATGAAAAACCTAGTGCTTTCTAGTTTTCTTGTCCGTTGCACTCTGCAGATTAATAGAGAAGCCGTGGACAACATGCATAAGTTACTATATCTCTGGACTTTTTTTACTGGTGATGGGAAAGGCGCGGAACGGATAAATTGACGAATTGAAATGACAGAAGCCTTTCTGTGAATTAGCCCGAAGCACTGTGACTAAGGTAGAACTGGGGTTCAAGACTAATCTCAAGATGGTCGCCTACGGCTGTGAGTCGTGGTTCATGGCTGAAAAACTTCGATCCCGCGTGCTAGTGGCAGAAATGGGTTATCCAAGATGAATCGGTGACCGTACGCTTCTCGATAGGGTTTGGAGCACGGATATCCCGGAGAGCCTCGGTGCACAGACGCTGCCATTCAAGGTTGAGAGACCAGATCAGTGATGTTTGGTCACGTCTTACCTATACTTTCAGAAAGGAGGGCGAAACAGCTACTACCAATGCAAGCGACCGACGGAAGCCCCTGGAAAAGGTCTAAAATTACATGGGGCAAGCACATAGAGGGTTCTATTACAAACTTGGGTTATCTTTTGTGTGTTGTGTGTGTAAGCCCAAACGGTGGCCCATTATCACGAACGGTGGAGTCACTGTTTGACGCGTCTGCTTCCTCCAACCAAAAGGATATGTGGTCATCGAAACTGACCGACAGACTGACCGACGTGTTTCATCGAATTCTAACCTCAGATCCCAGTTTAAAAAAGCGCGAATTTTCAAACGTCATCCCGTTTTCTTATGCAATAAATCTCAAATTCTCATAGAATCTTACGTGGGCGTGAGAAATGGGCAGCACTCTTGAAGCGAAGTGCTTTTGAAACCTCACTTGGATTACGTGTCTTCTTTTTCTTCTGTATATCGCTCAGTGTGTCTATCCGCTGGCCATCCGGTGCGTCCCCCAGTTGTGGATTCACGGTGAGGATCCTTCAGATATTGAGGCTAGCTGCGACAATATGGCAGTCGCGGACAGGCAGCGTAGAGACCACCAGGACGTGACTAGGTGCGCGTCAGTCAAGTCTGATTCTCAGAAAAAAATTTCACTCTGCCCAATGATAGTCTCATGTCGAGGCGAAACCGACCCTCCCGTTTAAGGACAAAAGCCAACAGTCCGACTGCTGCTTTGTGGTTAAGCGTTGGTATGCCAAAGAATAGATGTGACAACTCTGATAGAAATCTAGGCAAGATTTTGGAACCCGTTTTAAGCCAAATTCCCCTGGGTCGCCGTTAGCCCTGTGAGCGGGTACAAAACTTCAGGCACTGTGATCCTGCGAATGAATACCCCAGCCAATAAACTGCCTGAAAATACTTTTGCCAGTATCCTGTGCGCCTTTTGACCCGTTTCGCGGCAGCGGTTCAGTGCCTGTTAAGAATCTGAGAAAAGCAGCACCGCAGTTCCCTTGCCGTTTACACCGATGAATGAAAACGCTGTCAAGGGAGGAAACGTTAAACCAGCTAATGAAACAATGGTCAGGAATGGACTGCGATATCCTTGACCACTGTGAAACACACAAGCGGAAGAAGACAGACGACATCTGGAAAGACGACACTTCGATTTAGTTAAGAAGAGAAGATAGGAATCATATATGTAGTGAGCAAAAGCTGATCCTCCAGAATCGTCTCCTGTCATGTGAAGTAACCAAGACTGGGCGCGCTGTGAGTCAAACTGAGAAAAAAGGGACCTTGGAGATCGTTCAAATCTATGCTTCCACCAGCACAGCCTACGGAAAGGAAATGGAAGAACTCTATCGTGAACTCGAGCTACCCAAAGTCCACTACACCCTCGTCATGGGAGATTTCAATGTCAAGGTAGGAAGAGGAAGGTCTGGCGAAAGGTTTGAAAGCGAAATAAACGATGAGATCGAATGGTAACCATGGCAGAAACGAAACATCTACACGTTGGTTACACCTAGTTCGACAAGAAGACCAACAGGAGGTGGATATGGATCGAGTCCAACAGGGCGACGAACAGCGGGATCAAATTCGTCCTGCTCGATGAACGACACATCACTCTAGACATAGCAGTAGTGCAATTATTTAGTGCCAACAGTGACAGCAGACCGGTGAGGCTCAGGGTGACTTATGGAGCACATGGCAAATCGCAGACAGCGACCAAAGGCATTCGACGACGCGGTGCTCAAAGCGCCATTTCCAGCGAGGTCTAC